TCCCTTGGTCAGTTCAGACTTAGAAGAGAACTAGAAGAGAAGACAGAGCAAAGAAATTACATAGCATGAAGTTTCTGATGAGAGGTTAAAGGTCTTTGCAATCATTTTAACTTCATGTAATCTGTCATTTTTCTTTGTTCGCTACTGAGATATTCTCTTTAAGTTTTATTTTTCACCAGTTGGACTCTTCCATGTGCAGGAATGGTCTTTCTGTTTTATCTTGCTTTAGTCTTCCTGTGCCTGTTCCTCTGTATTGTGAAGTACTTAAATAATTTAGTAACACAAACTATCAGAGGCACCACTGCTAACTCAATTATTTAACCTGTAAAAGGAGCATGTGAACAATTTTATATTCACAGATAAGTATATTTAAATAGCTCTAATACCAAGAGCAGAGCCAGGCATAATGGTGCATACCTGCAGTTTCAGCATCCAGAAAACTGAAGCAGAAGAACCGCTTCAGTCCAGGAGTTTGAGACCAGCCTAAGCAACATAGCAAGACCAGATCTCATCTTTTAAAAAAAAAGCAGAAAGAGAAAATTCTTATAATATAATGTGAAACTTCCAAAGGACTTTTCTTTCTTTCATTTATAAAGACCTTGGGGCTTCAGGGAGGGAGACAAGGAAAGCAGCCAGAATCCATTCATACTTAAACATTTTGCCAATGAAAACTGAAACACCTGTATGAATTAACTAAATTGTTCTCATTTTCAACAATGAGAGGAAATTAAAAACATTACTACACATCACTGACTTGGCTCATCTGAAAGGAAATAACACAGCTATCACAGCTAATTTTAAATTATCAGGTCAATGCAACATAAATGGTTGTCTGAAACAATATGGGTTCTTTTTTTATTTTGTATGACTCAGTTTTCCTGAAACATGTAAATATGATTTCTCAAGAATAGTACCACGTAATGACACCTTAAACGAATAAAGATATTCACTTCTGACTTTACTGAGTTAATACACTTTGCCAACATATCTCATATATACATCTCCATGCGGCAACCACATGAAAACACTAGCAAAAACTTCTCTAAGAAACAGAGTTCACTATTATTTTAGTAAACTTTGGGAAAGTTCATTAAAACTGAACAAAATTCAGGATCAATAAGCCACCCATTTGTTTACTCAATGAGGATTTACCAAGTGCAAATACCATGGTCCCTGGCTCTCCCAGGGCTTACAGTTTTTTGATACTAAGACTTTCAGTATTTGCTGCTCTATCAACAGAGAAAGACCCTACCTCCCAGCTCCAATAGTTCAGAACCCCAATCTCTGGTCACCAAGCTGCTGCCACAGCAGGGAAGTGGACAACCAGTGAGATTTCCTCCCTGTTCTTTATCACACTGATGGCCAATTTCAAACAGGTGCTGTCCATTTAAGCTGCTTGGAAACAGATTGCTCGCGGACAAACTAGGGACCAAATAGCCCTGCTCATCACTGAATATGGAGCACACCAGCACTTTTTATACACTCTGCAATTTGATCCTCAAAACAAATTTTCAGTGTTGAAGGAGGGACACATCACGCTTCCCCCATTTTATAGAAGAAACCAATGTAAAGTGTACAAGTGGCCATCCTCACAATGATGTAGTGCTACCTAACTTATGGAACTAAGTAAAGCAATGCAGCTACAAGACAGAAAACAATCCTGTTCTGAGGCTGTAATATATTGCATCCATTCTCTCATTCTACATACATGTATTGAGCAACAGCTAGGAATAAAGCATTAAAGCACTGTACTAGGCCATAGAAAGGACCCAGAAAAGAAGAGCTCAGTTGCTAAAGCTAGGAGTTTATAATCTGGTGAGGGAAAGACATATACATAATTAATTATAAGCCAAAAAATGACCCTTGCCAAAAGAGAGGCACAGAAAAGTTTACGAATTCAGAAGTACAGCAGTACCTAAAAGTGGTCCCTCTTGTCTCAAATACTCTTGGAGTTTAATAGGATGCAGCTGTCAGTATCTATGGGGAGTTAAAATGGTCCAGGGCACCATGAAAATATCGAAATTCAAGGATCCACAAGTCCCTTACATAAAATGCTACTGTATTTGCATTTAACAGTGAAAATCAAGACTACATGACTTATAATACCTAATACAATGTAAGTGCTATGTAAATAATTGTTACAGTGTACTGTTCAGAGAATGACAAGGGGAAAAAAGTCTTTACGTGTTCAGTACAATAAAATTATTTTCAAAATATTTTAAAGCGTGATTGGCAGAACCCACAGACACGGAGAGTTGACTCTATAAAGTTTCTTCACTGACACCAGGAGCCAGCTCTAATTCACTGTCTTGTCCGCTTCGTTATCATGTAGAAAGAGGAGATAGGAAGAACTCTAGATAAAGGAAGGGCTGACAAGGACAGATCCCTTTGGGTTTTTCTGGTATATTTTCTATGTTTCATTTAGGATAGGAAAAAGAATGGGACAGTACAGAGCCCAAAGTAGGCATGAGACTCCTAAAAGCCTTCTTTACATCTACTTTCTTGCCTTGCTTCTTAGAAATTGAAGATTTAAAGATTAACAAACTCATCTCTTTAGAAAAGTTAGGCCTAGCACTATGAGTCTCTATAATTAAAAAGCTTTCCATCGAAAACAGATCACTCCTTGGGCCGGAGATTTAGCTCAGTGGCACCACTCCTGCCTCCCAAGCACAAGGTTCTGAGTTCGATCCCCAGTTCTGCAAAAAAAAAAAAAACCCAGATCACTCCATAGGTCAGTTGTGACTGATAGAGCTAGAAAAGAGAAAACTGTGCAACATAAAGCCCTTGGAGTTTCAATTTAAGACCTTCACTGCAAGCTGGGAATGATGAGTTCTCTACCATCAGAAATCGCCAGTTAATTATTTCAAAAGTACAACACAATCCAAAGAAACAAGAATAGATTAAAAAAAAACAAAGATATCCTTAGGCCTGGGGATTTAGCTCAGTGGTTCCACCGCCTGCCTCACAAGTGCAAGGACCCAAGTTCAATCCCTGGTACCAAAAAAATAAAAAATGAAAAACCAAAGGAAGTGCTACAATAAAGTAAATGAATAAGAAGTGTCCAAGTGTTTCTTAGGGTAACTGTGGATAACATATACCACAAGTCCCAAGAAGCTGTTAGTCCTGATCACCCTCCCCAGGGGAGACCAGCAGGAACATTTCTCGCGCACCAAGCCCACGTTTACCCCAGTCATAGCCTCCAGCTCATTTGTCACGCAGACACTTGTCCTCCTATAGCTCTATGCTTCCCCACACTGACTCAAGCTCACAACCATCCCAGATCCTGTTTCCTGCTGCTGCGTCCCATTGTGGGCAGATCTGTGTCCATGTCACCTTGCGCTGAGATCTTCCCAGACTATTTTGTCTGAAACAACTGCACCCAGCCCATGCTTGGTCCTCACCCTGCTGTATTGTCCTCCTCAGCACTTCTACTGAATATTTATTTCTCTTTTTCTACTGAGTATTTTCCCCACAAGAATGAAAACTGATGTAAACTCTGAAATGGAAAAGACTTGATGTTGTATCTCCAATGATGATCACAAAGCCTGCATATATCAAATTTACGAGCTACTAACTGAATGAATAAATGAAAGGTACATAAGTCTTTAATATGCTTTTAAAATAATTTTACCACTTTACTTGCCAAATTCCTTATAGCACATATAATAAAAAAGTAGGGACATTTCTACATAGTTACCTAAAACACATATAATAGAAAGATATACATCCAAGATTTCTAAGAATACTGAAGTGGGAAAATAGAACAGGCACCCAGAGGACTCAGGAACCAACATCTAACTAGTTCCAAGAGGGTGTGTAGGAAACAGTAATTTGCAAAATTTACAAGACAGTACAAAAAAGCTAGCTTTTCTACCAGATAAAAGTTCTTTCTTTCACCTTATCCAAAAAATAACAAAGGAAGGAAAGATCAGAATTCTACTTGATTTCTATGATAATAAAAATGCCTTTGAAAGAGATACGGTAAACAACTTGTACTCATTAAAGAATATATCTATCCCCTTTTTTTTTTAAACCATAAAGTCAAAAAGAGCTAACTAATTTCTCCACCCACCCCCTGGAATTAAGCACCAGCCTTTGCACTGAGCTACATCCTCAGCCCTTTTTATTAGTTTTATTTTGATAAAAGAGTCTCACTAAGTTGCTAAGGCTGGGCTCAAACTAACAATCCTCCTGGCTCAATTTCCCAGACCACTGAGATTACAGCAGTGTGCCACCATGCTCAGCTTACTTTTTCTTCTTGGAAGCCTTTCTTTACAGCTGAATCGTCAAACATCTACTACTCCATCTTTCCTTCTTACTGCCAACCTTCTCCAACTGAGGTCTTTATTTATAATCTTTATTTTCTTTTACCCCAATTCTCTCCTTAATTCTCTTTCTCTAGAATGACATGACTATTTGGATAGACCACTGAACCTATGCTAGAAAAGAGAACTGCACTGCTATATCCCACAAAGAGTATGTCAAATCTCACAGCCTCTTCTCTGCCCACATTTCTCCCCTGACTGCTCCACCCTGCTGAAGGCTGATGAGCAGCCCCATGCCCTCCACACCACCTTCTTCCCTGACCTCTACAACCGGAGCTCTCCTGCTCACATCCCAATTCTCTCTCACCACAACCAAGCAGGCATCATCTTCAGTCTCAGACATAAGACTCAGTGGCTCTGGCTGTTACTTCATTAAATCATTTAACAAATGCATCTATTATGTGCAAGGTAATAGAACAGGACCTGGGATTTTAAAACTGAACAAAAAAAATGGGTCACTGCTTTCACATCCTAGCAACTACAAAGAAAAATGGTTATGCTTAAATCAGCAGCAGTAAACATGCACCTTGAAAACTAAACTGATGTGTGTTTTCCCCTAATTTCCTTAGGTGGTAGTGTTTCAACAACAGCAATCTGAGGCAAGAGGCAAATACCAGAGGCAAAATAATTTATAAGCAAAAAGAGCAAAATGGAAACAAAAAAGACGTTACTTACTGATGTAAATGCCAGCAGCTCCTCTTCAGTTAACTTATGTACTGGGTTATTCTTTTGAAAATTTGTGCTTTGAATTAAAGAAAAAAATTATTAATTTTAAAATACATTGTAGCTAATTGTAGCTAATGAAATATATATATATATATACACATATATATATATGTATGTGTATATATATATATATACACTTTTTTTTTTTTGGTACTGGGGATTGAACTTGGAACCTTGTGCTTGTGAAGCAGGCGGCAGAACCACTGAGCTAAATCCCCAGTCCCTGAAATATAATTTTTAAAAAATAAAAACAAATTGCTATATTTTGTATCTTTTAGCAGAGAGTATAATAATATGGCATTATATTCACATGTAGAAATGAGTTTGCCAAAGATAAGTATAATAAGTAATAAAATGCTAACAAATGAAATGTTGAAGCACTTAATGCCAATATAACTTGTCTTGCTAGGAAAAAAAGAAATATAGTCTATGCCACTCAGCAAAGAAACTCAAATGCATTAATGTGGATCCAGCTCCCCTTCATTAAACTTATGAACTAGAGTAGTAAAAATTATGATGTTGTCAAAGAAGCATACAATAGGAATTCTAAGATCCTGTTGATACAAGTATAATTAGGTGAATCAATTTGGAAAACAATTTGGTACTGTCTTGTAAAGTGAATATTCACAGAGCCTCAACTCAGTAATTTCATCCTAGATCAAGAGCTCAGAGAAATTAATGAACGGGTGGACCAGGCGTGACATACATAAATATCCACAGTGATGCTGTGTATAACAGGAAAAATCTGAAAACAATCCAAATGTCTAAAGGAAAATGATAAATTGTGATATAGCCCTCCAATGGAATGCCACCTTGAAAATGTAATGGCAGCTAACAACATGAATCACAGAAACAAAATAATGAGAGGAAGAAAGGAAACCACATGTCATAAAATAACACTTTCATAATGCTCAAAAAGGGGAAATTAAAGCAGTTATATAAAATGTGAGACTAGGCTGTTTTTTAAAGACAAGAAAATGACAAACGCAAGATTTATGACAGTGTATTCTTTTTAGGAAACAGAAGAATGAAATACAGAAAAAGCACATGGGTTGGGCTAATGGGATTTGTAATCTACTTCTTAAATTGTATGATGGGTTCACCACATGTATCACCACGTCAAGCTACACCATATAACTTAAATTTATATATTATATTAATTACTTTGCATATAAATAGTACATATATTAAGGATGGAAAGAAAATATCACCTCATAAAATCATTTCTCTCAGTTTTCAACACTGTTTGAGGATTTTATAATAAATATGAAATGTTTATATAATAATTTTTTTAAGCCTATTTTTATTGTTAGTAAAAAGGAAAAGAAGAGAAAAAAAAGAAAAATAAAGTTGGGTATAGTGGTACATGCCTATAATCCCAGCGCTGTGGGAGGCTGAGACAGGACGATTTTAACTTTGAGCTCAGCCTAGACAACTTATAGCAACTTAGCAAGACACTGTCTCAAAACAGGGCTGGGAATGTAGCTCATTGCAAAGGCCCTGGGTTCTATTCTCAGCACTGAAAAAAGTCATTACAAGATAAAAGAGTATCCAAAATGAAGCGAAGTTCTTCTCTCATATAAAAATTCCAATTCTAGGGCTGAGGATTTAGTTCAGCAGCATGGGCACCTACCTGGTAAATGTGAGGTCCTGAGTTCGATCCCCGTACCAAAAAATAAAATTCTAATTCTATAACGCATTACATAAAGTTATACAGATAAAGTGAAATGTTACAGGCTTATTACAAATATTTACGAAGGGGAGCTGATGTAGCCCAGTGGCAGATCGGTGTTAGCATGTACAAGACCCTCAATTCCACCCCAGGCGCCAAAAAGGGATAGAGAAGTGGAGGAAGAAGAGAAAGGCAGAGGATAATAATTTTGACATACTCACTGAGTTGAGTCGCCATTATTTAATATAATTTACTGTCTTAGGCTTACAAAATATTACAATGCACACTTGAAAATCACATTGTTAAAGTAAAAGGGAACTAGCTTTCCCCACTAAGCCATCTGAATTACTCAAGGGTTGCTGTATCTTAAGGAATTCCTCCCATAATAGCTATGCATAAAAGCAATCAGGTCCACTGAGGAATAAGAGACAGTGGGGCAAGTTCCAGAGTTCGGTCTTTAGGTAAAAATCAAATTCAATGTCAGGGCTGGGGATTTAGCTCAGTGGTTCCGCCGCCTGCTGCACAAGCACAAGGACCTGAGTTTGATCCCTGGTACCTGAACCCACCAAAATCAAATTCAATGAGGAGGCGGTGAAAGGGAAAAGTCCAGGGAAGGAGCAGAAGTCACTCTTGTGTACAGTCTGTCAGAATTCACCTTCTTCAAGTCTCTTTTCCAACCACCCCCATCTACCACAACGTCCCAGGCCCCCCTTGGGGCTGGTGGCCATGGGAATCAGACAGAGATGAGGCACTGTAACCAAATCACACTTAAAACACTGTAACTCCATTCATGTGAATGATCTGTTCGTGGATATTGTAACCAAACATTTATAAACTGCATCAGATGTTCAGATTCAGAAATAAGTAAGTAGTTTCTCCTTAAACTGCCTATGAAATCCATTCAGCTCTTTCATCTATTATCTATATTGAGCATACACTGAGATCATATTTGGGGAAAAAGTAGTATTTGAAGCATTTGAAGATAAGCAAATAGTATTTGAAGATAAGCATTTTCTTGGTCACTCCCTCAACTGTGAAGTTTGACTCACATTTCTAAAGTTCAACTGACAAAATGCCCACATTTATTTGGTTTAATTTAATTTCCTGATGAACTGACAATTATGAATTTGCCAAAATAACATTTTTAAAAACAGCTTAATGAAGAACTCAAAATTTGGGGTCAGTTAAATGCAGATTCAAATCTTAATTGCTGCTCTGTAATTCTGAGCAAGTCATTTAGCCATGTAAACCCTGTTTTCCCATGTGAAAAACAGAAAAATAATAATCCTTAATGTTAGAATATTAGTGAGATAAGGTGAAATACATACTATAATGCCTAGCACATAGTATTTCTCATAAACATATTGACATATTATGTATTATGTACTAAACAAGTAATTTTTTGTAGTAAACCTAAACTCCGTCACTGGAACCAAATAACACAACAGGACAATTGCCTTGGACTTAGAAACAGAATCCTGTATGCACGGTTCTTCTTCAGCAAACAAAAAGGGACTGCAGAAATGAACTCAACTTTTGCATAAATGAAAACCTATTATCAGTATATGGGAGGAAAAGAAAAAAATAACTTTACATAGGAATAGCCTAGTAAATGACCACTGTAATAATGTGTGGTCAAAGTTAATTTCACCAGTAATAGGACAAACAAAATGTTTTCTACTTCCTAGGAAGCAATGAGAACCACAAAATTTTATTCCTCTGGTATCTCTGCTAACACTGTGTAAAATAAATGTAATCATTAAACAAAATTAGACAAGCTCAAATTACAGGAAAGTCTACAAAATAACTGGCCTGTAAATTTCAAGTGTTAAGGTCATAAAAGTCAAGCAAAAATAAAAAACTATTCCAGATTGACAAAGACTAACAATACATGACAACAAAATAAGACACATGTGTTCTGGACTGGATCACTTCTTCTAAAGGAGATTATTAGGACAACAGAGAAAATTAGAATGGGGTCTGAGAATTAAATGATAGTAAAGTTGAATGTTAATTTTCTGATTTTGATAGCAATATTGTGGGCATATAAATGCTGCTGTTTGTTGGAAACACACTAAAGTATTCAACAATGACAGATTATTGGGATTTTTTTCTGGATGGTGGTTTTTTGAGACAGGGTCTCGCTATGTAGCTCAGGCTGGCCTCAAACTTAGTGATCCTCCTGCCTCAGCCTCCTGAGTGCTGGGATTATAGGCGTGCACCACCACACCTGGCAAGAATGACAGATTATTGTGTTGGAAACTTATTCTCAAAAGTTGTTTGCATGGCCCTCACCTTGCAACATTTTTCAAGTTTGAAATTATTTCAAAATAGAAAAGAAAAAACTATTTCCACTGCATATAAGATTGTACAGCATTTAAAAATAATTCTATCCCTTAAAAATGTAAATATCAATATTCTCAGATGTGAAAATAGTCACTCTCACCATTTTTGTTTTGTTTTGTTTTCGTTTTTGTTTTTTTGGTACTGGGGATTGAACTCAGGACCTTGTGCTTGCAAGGCAGGCGCGGTACCACTGAGTTAAATCCCCAGCCCTTGTTTTGTTTTTTAAGACAAGGCCTCACTATAATAATGTAGGCTCAGGCTGGTTTCAAACTTGTTATGTGACCTGGGTTGGCCCCAATCTCATAATCCTCCTGCCTCAGCCTCCTGAATGCTGCAATTACAGGCACTCGCCTATTTCTAATACTTGTTAAGAATCTATTCCTAGCCAAGATTAACCAAAGAAATTTTGTTTATGAAGAAAAAAGAAGAGGAGGATACCAACTTACAGGAGACTCCTACTCTCTAAAATGGGGTGCCCAAGAATTCCCTCTCTCTCTTCAGAAGCACTACAAATCTCTATTATTCAGAACTTATGGGATCTTCTTAAACAAAGATTTCCCTAAACATGAGAGAACCAATATGCAAGGTAGCCAAACCAGTCATGAACTTACCAGACTCCAAGGATAACAGCAAGCTCTTCAGCACAAAGGTCAGGCATCTGAAACTGTTCACAGTCTGCGAATTTTATCTCATTCAGAACAGTATCATCATTGAGCTCAAGATTCTGGAATGAAAAAGAAAGTATTTAGATCAAAACTTAATCTGATTCAGAGCTTCCTATAGATAATTCAGAAACTGTTGAAAATACCTAAGAGACTTTTACAGTGCGCTTTTTCTTATACTTTCTATTTGAAAGAAAAGCTGTAAGGGGTATGTAGGCTACCTAATCACTGAATATGTTAGCCTACAGGCCTATCATTGAATATATTAGCCATTGATAATCTCCATATCTAAATGGCCCCTCTGAACTCTCCTGCACCCGAGACCTATCTGTTCTTCTCCATGGTTCTGCCGCCTGCCTCGAAAGCGCAAGGTCCAGAGTTCGATCCCCAGTACCCAAAAAAAGAATGGGAGAAGATGGCACTGTAAGTGCCACATTTCGCTTTGGTGTGACCTCTGCTGGTGGCATTATGGAATTGTTTTAATTAAGTCATTTTAGACAACACACTGTCACTGTGGATCCACTTTCAAGTACTGAGTGTCAGTTCTTGAAGAAACGAATTTTGAGGTGGTGTGGGAGAAAAGAATGCATCTTATAAAATGTTATGGTGAAGGCCATCATTGACCTGTGATTAGGAGGAGTTTTAAGTATGTTACTAAAAATCTAATGGGCAGTTAAGGGAATTACTAAAGAGAAGTGTATGAGCCTACCAGATTTCAATGTAGATTTTGTCTTTTGTTTGTTTGGTTTTTGGTACCGGGGATCGAACTCTGGTCCTTGCGCTTGCACAGCAGGTGGGGAACCACTGAGCTAAATCCCCGGCTGTAGATTTTGTCTTTATTAAATGAATTTAAAAGAAAAAAACCTTTAATCTGAATCATTATACAGAATATCATAGATGGATAGTAGGTATGATGGTTGAGTGGCTCAGCAATTCCACACCTTAGGGCGTGGGAGATTCACCCTAGGGCTGCTCCTGCCTGACTGTTATAAAGGGGAAATGGGGAAGGTCGAGCTCTCTTCTGTTCCTTTGGAGGAGCTCCAGTCTTTGCCTTCCAGCACAGACCCTTCAGCTTCCTGACACAGACCCCCATAAGACACTGCAGTGAGCTCTGAAACGTTGACTGAACCCTTCGGTTTCCAGTGTGCGGAGAGACCCTCTGGATTCCTCCTCATCTGACCCTTTGGGTGGCTACTGTAAGCTAATCTCGTAAATTCTTCTATATATCTATATATCTTATGTTCTGTCGTTTCTTTAGCAAATACTGACTGATACAGTAGGGATAAAGTTAACTTACCTTTTTGTTTAAGATTATATAATGTCTACATATGGTGAATAAGCTGTTTCTTGTAAAATACACATTTGAGGATAATTTACCTTGTAGAAATGAAGATGTACCATCTATAGCTCTGAATTGCACTGACAATAATAGTAAGAGGGAATAACACTATTACTGATTGGGCCTAATATGCAAAAGTCTCTCTGCTGGTAAATTTACATACATTTTCCTATTCATCCTCCAAGTAACCACGGATATTTCTATTACCATTTATGGATGAGGAAATAAAGAATTAAAGAAGCTGATCCAAGCAGGTGGCAGCATCAAACTTCAAAGCGTGGTCTTTCTTTCTGTCTCTAAATTCTAGTCTAAAATATCAACTCCTCAATAATGTGCCTCAACAACATAGAGTGACCAGCTCTGACTGTTATATAAATCATGGGTTATTAATGATAGAAAGGCAAACTGACAAACTGATTCTGAAATTTATATAGAAATGCAAGAGATCTAGAACAGTCAACACAATTGAAAAAGAATAAAATCTGAAGACTTAAAGAGTACTTGAGGGCTGGGAATGTGGCTCAGTGGTAGAGGACTTACCTGGTATGTATAAGACCCTGGGTTTAATCCCTATACCACAAGAAAAAAAAGTACTGATTTCAAGAATTATTACAAAGCCGAGACAGTGTGGTACTGGCATAAAGACAGACATATAAAGGAATGGAAGAAAATAGTCCCAAATCCAAGAACCATGTATGTATGGTCCATTGATTTTTCAACAAAAACACCTGTGATTGAACAGGTATAATCTTTTTAATAAATGATGCTGAAACAGCTAGATAGCCATTGGGGAAAATGACCCTCCATTTTTATCTCATACCATACACCAAAAGTTAATCAAAATTAATCACAGAACTTCAAAGTAGAAGCTAAAACTGAAAAACAAAACAAAAACAAAAAACTTCTAAATCATAAAAGAAAATCTTGACAGTCTTGGGGTAGGCAAATAGTCCTTAAGACAGACACACACAAAAATAAACAATTAGAGAAGAGCTCAATAAACTGGAGATTATCAAATTTAAAAGTTCTGCTCTTTGGAAACACTGTTAAGGAATTAAAAACCAGGCTACAAACTCAAAGAATATACTCATAAAACTTATCTGAAAAAGAACTTTTACTCAGAATATGAAGATTTCTTGGAATTTAATAATAAAAAGACAAGCCAATTTAAAAACCCAATTTAAAAATGGGCAAGGGCTGGGGATTTAGCTCAGTGGTTCCACCACATGCCTCGAAAGCACAAGGTCCCGAGTTTGATCCCTGGTACCAAAAAATAAAAAATAAAATAAAATAAATAAAAATGGGCAAAAAATTTGTACAGGCACAGTCAATGCCCACTTGTCATCCCACCTACTGGCGAAGCTGAGGTAGAAGGGTTGAAAGTTCAAGGCCAGCCTGAGCAATATGGCAAAACCCTGCCTAAAAAATAAAATAAAATGTGTATAGAGATTTCATAAAAGAAGATAGATAAATGGCTAATAAGCACACAAAAAATTCTTCAACAACACTAAACACAGAAGCACTAATTAAAATCAGAATAAATATTTGAATGGCTAAAATTTAAAGACTGACAGGGCCGGGGATTTAGCTCAGTGGTTCCATCACCTGCCTCACAAGTGCAAGGTCCCGAGTTTGATCTCTGGTACCAAAAAAAAAAAAAAAAAAAGACTGACAATACTAAACACAGGCAAGGATCTGGAACAATTAGAACTTTTATACACTGCTAGTGGAAATATTAAAATGATACAATCACAGAAAATAGTTTGCCAGTTTCTTATATCATATGAGCCATGAATTCTATTCCTAAATAATTTATTCAAGAGAAATGAAAACATGACCACAAAAATATATATACATAAATACTCATAGTGGTTTAATTTGTAACAGCCCAAAACTCAATGGAATACTATTCAGTAATATGCATACTGACATATGCAACCATACAACCATGCAATTTCAAAAAAAAATCATGCTAGAAAAGAGGCCAATTGTAAAAGAGTGCATATTATATATTCCCATTCACATAAATTCTAGAAAAGGCAAACTACTTGTAGTCATAGAAAACAGAACAATGGTTGTTCAGAACCAGTGGAGTAGGAATTAACCGCAATGGTGCAGAATAGAATTCTTTAGGATGACAGAACTTATCTTGACTATAATGCTTAGGTATATGTATGTATTTGTCAAATTCATTAAATTGTAAAATTAAGATGGGTCAATTTTCTGTAAGATATACCTCTATAAAAGTAATTTTTAAAAAATGAATCACTAGGGGCTGGGGATTTAGCTCAGTGGTGCCACCGCCTGCCTCCCAAGTGGAACATCCTGAGTTCGATCCCCAGTACCAAAGAAAAAAAAGAATGCTTCCTGTTTATTGGGCCGGGGATTTAGCTGCCACCTGCCTTGCAACCACAAGGTCCAGAGTTCGATCACCAGTATCAAAAAAAAAAAAGAAAAAAGAATCACTAAAGAAAAAAAAAAGAAAGAAAAATGAATGAAATGAGATACTACCACAAATGAATGAAATACTAGCACAAACATACTCAGGTATGTTTGGTAAAAATTAAAAATGGACAATACCAAGTATTGGCCAGAATGAAGGGCACCTGGCACTCATACATGGATGGTAGGGATGTAAAATTGTACAACTATTTTGGAAAAGAGTTTGGTACTGTCTCATAAAGTTTAAAACGCACTTACCACACAACCCAGCCATTCCATCTAAGTATTTACCCAAGAGAATTAAAAATATATGTTCACTCAAAAGACAACATACAGTCTTTCCAAGCTGCTCTATTCATAACAGCTACTATATTAGATAGAAACAATTCCAACATACACTAACAGCTGAATAAATCAAGGTGGCTTATCCATCAATTAAATACTACTCAGCAATAAACAGGGGTCAACTACTGGTGTTACAACACAGATGAATCTCAGAAATACCATGCTAAGAAGTCAGACACAAAAGAGTGCATAATACGATTCCATTTATGTGAAATTCTAGAAAAAGCAGATCTAATCTGTGATCAGTGGGAGAGAAGTGATTACAAAGGAACCTTAGAGGACTTTCTCAATGTTTCTACTTTTTCATTTTGGTGGGAGTTATATGGGTCTATGTACTTTTCAAAACTCATCAAACTTGGCCAGGGATTTAGCTCAGTAGTGCCGCACCTGCCTCACAAGTGCAAGGTCCTGAATTCGATTCCTGGCACCAAAAAAACCCACCTCATCAAACTGTACATTTAAAATAGGTACATTTTAAAGCCGGGTGTGGTGGCACACAGCTGTAATCCCAGCACATGGGAGACTGAGTCAGGAGAACTGCCACAAATTCGAGGCCTGCCTGGGCTACACAGTGGGTTCAAGACCAGCCTAAATTACACAGCAAGACTTTGTCTCAAAATAAATGAATGAATAAATAAATAGGTAGGTACATTTTATATAAATTGTTCCTCATAAACTTGATTTAAATATTTTTCTAACTCAACAAAAGTAGAGCTAAAACAAGGGAAACTTTAGAAGCCAAATGGAAGTAGGCAGAGATTCCAGTTTTGGCAGGGTGGAAACTGTCTATGGTTAAGAGGTTGAGCTTTGCATATGGGAGAAAGGAAACCAGTTCACCTGCTCAAATTACAGGCCAAAGGGGCAGCTTCCTTGTTTACCCTCAAATTCACCCTGACTCTAGGCTTACCCGCCATCTACAGGGTTTCAAGAAAAAAGTACTACAATCTCCAACAAGTAATGACCTGGAGGAACACAAAACTTGAGGTCACTCCTCAATTCCCAATGTAATTGCTCCTCCCTGAATGAGTAGCCTTACCCATTAAGACCGGGCTGACAGGTACACAGCACACCCTTGTGGCCATCCTTTTTCACCACAGACCTTTCATAATTTCTAAATAAAATTACATATGATTTAAAATTTTCTGACACAAATAAAATGTTAAAAAATAAAATGACAACATATCAAAACATTATTACAATAAGATATAAAAAAGAACATTATTAATTAGATACTTTACATTCTTTCTTCATGCAGTTGTTACCACAGTATGAATTTTACACTTCAGGCCCATCTCAGTTTGGACCACCAGCCTTCAGGTGCTCCACTGTCACTTGGCTAATGGCTGCCATGGCAGGCAGTGTGGCTCTAGGGTCCTCAAACTCTCATCTTTTAATATCCTTTCAGAGTTATATCAACTTGCTTTTGTCTACATCCAGTGTTTAATAGCACATCTGTAGACTGCCTTTACACATCTTATCTGATCTTTAACGAAGTATAATGTGGCAAAAACAAACGAGGAAATGATCCCAGTGAGGATGTGACAGGCAGTGAGGATGTGACAGGAACACATTCTCTTCTTCTCCCAGCCCAGGACTCCTTCTCCTCCACCACAGAAGGCCTGAGCCATGTCACGGTTCCACAGGGAATTATTTGCCAGATAGAATGAGGCAATTAAGTAGTTTCAATCTTCATTTAAGATTCTCTACATTCCTCTTCAACTGTTTTTGCAATTAAGATGGCCTACTACAGTATCTATTTAGATCCAAGTTTCTACAAGTCCGCATAGTTCAATACTTCTCCATCTTAGTCCCACTTGAGCATCAGCATTCTACTGAATCAAGAAATCAGAACATAATCTACCACTAATATGTCAGACACAACATATTCAGGATTTATTTATTTTTGTATTAAATTATTTTATTGGTACATTGTAGGTATACAACACAATTACATTTCTCACTGGAAATTGTACCTTTAC